TGACAGGCAAGAAAAAAGATGCGGTTACCGTTGAAAACCGCTCACGAGTCCCGCCGCCAGATCGAGGGCTTCGACGGCTTGTTCTCCGCGAGCCCCACGGCCGTCGCGACGTCCACGACGAGGAGCGCGTTGTTGACGACGCCGTTCTGGTCCTCGCCGCCGAAGACGAAGACCGTCCCCGCGGCGCCGTTCGCGCAGGAGCAGTGGCCGGTCCGCGTGCCCGGGACCATGGTCCAGTCGCTCCGCCAGTCGAGGGCCAGGCGCGTCCAGTTGAGCGTGTCCCGCGCCGTGCGCAGGACGTAGACGTCGTTGAAGAGGCCCGCGCCGTCGCCGTCCACGACGCAGACGTCGCCCGCGTCGCCGACCGCGTGCGCCTGCAGGCCCCGCTGGGCCCGCGGGCCCTCGCCGCCGCACTCGACGAGGCCCCAGGTGTTCCGCGACAGGTCCAGCACCTCCAACGCGTCCGGCGGGCACAGCGCCCCGCCCGCCTCGTCGCCGCCGCCGAAGACGACGAGCTGCTCCTCGACGATCACCGCCGCGTGGCCGTCGCGGCCGGGCGGCTTCGGGTCGTCGATGTGTACGCGTTTCCAGGCGAGCGTCGCGGCCTCGTCCGGGTCCTCGGGCCGCGGGAACTGGAGCTTCCAGACGTCGTTCGCGAAGCCCGAGGCCGTCCGCCCGCCGAAGACGACGACGGCCTCGTCCTTGTAGACGGCCAGCGCCGGCGCCGCGCGCGCCGGCGGCGGCGCGCCGGCGATCTCGGGCTTGAACCACTCGCCCGACTCCAAATTCAGCAGGTACGCGGCCTCGTCGTAGTCCTCGACCTTCCGGTTCCCCTTGTACGTGCGCCGCGCCTCCGTCGCGCCGCCGTAGACGAGGACGACGGAGCCCAGGTAGAGCATGGCGTGGAAGGCCCGGGGCCCCGGCGCCTCCGGGCCGCCCTTGTTCTGCGACATGGCCACCCACGCGCCGTCCTCGCCGTCGTAGACGTGCTCGTCGTCGAGGAACCCCTCGCCGCCGAGCCCGCCGTAGAGGCACACGTCCCCCGACGCGTCGTTGAAGACCATGGACCCGCCGATGCGGCCCTGGGGGTTGTCCATGAGCATGCAGCTCACGATCGCGCGCGTCCGCGGGTCCGCGGCCTCCCGGTCGCCGCCGTCCTCCTCCTCCTCCTCCTTCGCCGCCGGCCAGGCGCTCTCGAGCTGCGCCTTCGCCGTCTCCGCGTAGGCCCGCTTCTTCCCGCGCGGGTCGAAGACGAAGAGGAGGTAGTAGCCCGTGGCGACGAAGGCCGCCGCGAAGACGAAGACCATGGGCAGCCCCCGGAACGACAGCGACACGTCGCCGTACTCCGCGGGGCCCACGCCGAGGTCCTCGAACTCCTCGTAGTGGCCGTAGTCCACGAAGTGCTGGCCGTGGCCGCCGTACCCGAGCCCCGGCATCGTCGAAGTTCGACCCCGGGTGGGCAGCCCACCAGCGCGGCCAAGGGGTAATAAATAGTATGGGGTGGCAGCTCAACGAGATTATGCTGCGCCAGCTCCTCGTACTGCAACCCATCGTTTTGGGGCAATGTTGACGACTTTTGGCCGGGGATGTTTCGACGCCGCCGTCGTCGACGCGGCCCCAGGCGGACCGCAGCGGTACTCGTCCCCCCGCGAAGGCGCCCACGACAAGACTTACGCGTCTGGGCGGTTCGGGTCCGGTGGAAGGAGACCGAGGCGCGCTGGAGGGCGCCGTGTCCGGTTTGGCGCCGCGCGAGGAAGGGGGTTTGGGGGCAGCTCTTGGACGTGTTCGCGATGATGATGGTCGTGGACCGTCTGCTGGCGCTGCAGAGACCTTCGTTGGTACCTATGGATGGGCTCGAGCATCTCAGGACACGAAAAGTTCTCGACCTCGAATGCCCACACGCTGCCCGAGAAACTGCGTTGCGACACCGTCGGCGCCGGGGCTGCGCAGGCTCTGAGATCGTGAGAAAAGTGTGTCCTGAAGGTTTCGAGCCCCCCGCGGGTACCCATAGGGCGCCTCCAATCTCTAAGGACAAGAAAATATCGCACACTCGACTCACACCGCCGCCCTCTCGTCCCGCCGCCGAACAACCGTCGCGCTCGCGAGCCAACGCAATGATCTCAGCAGCCCAAATTCGCTGCCCCGCCCCGTCGAAGGGTTCCGCAGCCGCGCCGCGCCGCGCGACCCGCCATCGTTGCACTCAGCCCGCGCGCTGCGGCGTGGAAGAAGAAAGAAAACGCTGGTGGCGGCCCCGAGTAGTACGAGGACCTCGCGTTTTGCCTGCCACCCCATCTAGATTTATATCCCCTTGGCGCGGCGGGACGCGAGGGCAAAGTGACGGCCCTCCACGACTTCAAGGAGCAGTCTCGCCGCGACGCACCAGCCGCAAGTGCGCAATGCGCACCGTCCTTTGGCTCGCTTTCATCGCGGCGCGCGGCCTCTCGTGGGCGCCGCGCCGCTCTTTGGCACGACCCCAGCTCCGGCGCCATGCCCAGGTCGTCCAGATCGACGCCGACGGCAAGTCCTTCCCCGTCGCCGGCGCCAACGGCAAGCCCTGGGCCGTCGGGACGACGGCCTACGAGACCATCAACACGGAGCAGTGGAGCACGTACCTCGCCGCGACCCGCGCGGGCACGCGCCTGAGCCGCGTCTTCCTGCCGGCGTCCGTCAACCCGGAGTACCTGAGCTACACGAAGTGGCGCGCGCTGCAGCGACTCCTGTCCGCGACGGTCAACGTCTTCGGCCTCCAGGCCATGATCATGGCCGTCGGCCTGCGGGACTCGCGGGCCGTCACGTCGGGCAAGGTCGTCGGCGCCGCCGCGGCCATCGACTGGGTCCTCAAGGACGCGCTCGGCAAGGTCACGCGGCTCTGCTGGGCGGGGAAGATGGGCCGCGAGTTCGACGGCGACGCGAAGCGCTGGCGTTTTAGGAGCTCCCTCCTCTACGCGACGGGCAACGGCCTGCAGATCGC